CTCCCATCCTCCCCCTAATCCCCCACACTCCAACCATGCTAGCCCCTTGATCCCCTCTGAACACCATTCCTGCCTCCAGGCTACCACCTGTACTGTTCCCTCTGCCTCCATGCTTTTCCCCCAACACTCAGCATGGCTGACCCCTCCTCAAGCACTTCACCCTGGTCCCCTCGTGGCACCTAAAACAACCAATGTCTACTATTTAGCTAATACATGCTTACTTTCTAGCACTCCTATCAGACAATAATCTCAGTGAAGAGCATTCACATCTATTTCATCGGGCCCTGAAAGCCCAGCCCAGAAAAAGACTCCGTCCATGAGCCGATTAAATGAATGAACTGGATGGAAGACCGCAGCTTTCTCACGCCCTGCCGATGGGCCTCGGGGCGAGGAGACCTCTCCGAACATCCGAGACCTCTGCCCGACTGCCCTCGACTTTCTGCAACGAACTCTCCTGCCAGGGTTTTAAAGGGTTGGGGCGAGAAACCTGGGCTCTACCAAGGACATCTGCCAAAAGCTACATCTGGCAGGTGGCTGCTCCACGGTGAGTAGAGGGGAGAGGGGAGATATTGGGGAGCGGCGAGCTGCCATAAAGGCAGAGCAGAGCGGCAGTCCCGGATCCCTGCACGGTTCCCCAGAGCCACACAAAGCCCTCAGTGTGGAAAGCCGCTGGCCAAACATTTGCTTCTGTAAACAAGGTTTTTCCTCAACGTCTCGCTCGTGCTGCTGAGTCCCACAAGGAGCCCATTTTCTGCTCCCGTCCGGGTACACAGGATAGGAAATGACACAGAGCTCCATGCGTTCCTTTCGAAATACACCGAGAGATAAGGCTCCGCTTTCAATAAATCCGCTTCTAGGATTCCCCGGACGAGGGAGACGCTCTGCCTCTGTCACTGAGTTTAGCAACAAGCTAGAAAACTAGGAAAGATCGTCGGACTAAACGGGAGATCCAACCCGTCAGCGTTTACTTAACATCTCTCTAAGCCTAACTGTTATCACAGTTGTCACCTTCTCCCTGAAATCTCAGAGATGCTAGTGACTCCAGATGCTTCGTAAAGAAGTGCAGCAGGTGGGGTGTGATCTGGGAGAGGGGAGCCAGGGAAGAGCCGTAAAACGTTCTTAAAACCAACCAGTTTCCTTTCTTTCTTTTCTTTTTTGTTTTGCTAATCCTCACCTGAGGATATTTTTCCATCAAGTTGAGGGGGGTAGGGAGAGAAAAGTAGAGGGGAGAGAGAGAGACAGAGGATAGAGAGAGAGAGAGAGAGAGAGAGAGAGAGAAACATCGATGTGAGAGAGATACATCAATTGGTTGCCTCCTGTTCATGCCCCAACTGGGGCCGGGGATCGAACCTGCAACCCATGTGTGTGCTCTTGACTGGAAATTGAATCCGTGATCCTTGGGCGCGAGGGCGGATGCTCTAACCACTGAACCGCACTGGCCAGGGTGGTTTCCTTTCTGATAGAAATGTTTGCCCATCTGTATCCTCTGTCCATTTCCTAGCTAAACAGGTGGCCTGCTTTCAGTTCCAGCCCAAACCTAAGGAAACTGAAGCAGTTAGGACGTGGCTCAGACACACTTCACAGCGGGTGTGTTCCCGATCCTTTCACCCAGCACTGAGCTCCCTTGCTGCCCTGCCCCATCCCAACAAGATAAAATAATGGCAGTGCGGGGTGGTGATCGGAAACCCCAGGTTTGAACCCTTCAACCTGTGACGCCTTGGATAAGGAATGCAGCCTCTCCGAGCCTCGGTTTCCTCCCCTGGCGGAGGAGACAGGTGCACGGACATGCGCCGCAGGGTGCCTGGCACACTGGGTGAAGGAGAGCCGTCTCCACACATCTGGTCAGGCACGATCTCCTGTCACATGGTCCCTTGTCAGTTAAGAGAATCACCGACATTTCCAAAAAGAAAGCTTAGAAAAGCTCCAGTTAATGCCTTAATGTTCAGGCAACATCACACACCACTTTCCACTATGATCGCATAACTGGAGCTTGGCACTCGGTGCGGGAAATACTGAGCAACACAAACCCCACTTAACGAGGCCCAGACCCTCAGAGATACGGAGTGCCTGGAATATATGATTCCCTGCGCAGGGGTGAGGGGACTGAAAGGCTGGGTCAAGCTGGAGAGGGCTTTAGCGCCTTTGACTGCGTCCAGAGCATCGCCTCGCGGTCCGCGGTGAGACACACCGCCACGGGAAGTGGGTGATCCACGGAGAAATTCTGAGATGGGTGTTTCACCCTCACAGGAGAACCCTACAGAAGGGCTGAAATGACAGCCTGCGAAGTAATATGAACCTTCGTCCCGGCTCTGCCAAAAGGAATGGCTGTGTGGACGGGCACAGGTTATGTACCCTCGAGGCCTCAGTTTCCTCCTTGGCAAAATGACCGTCATGGTGGCACCGTGACACAGAGCGTTGGTTTTTGCTTAAATGAGATAATGCGCACTGAACGCCCCAACATCAAGCAAGGTCTCCGCAAATACAAGCCGCCGCTGTTCCAAGAGAAACGTTATTTACAGCGACAGCTTGAATCCATCGACTCTGCGACTGACCTCACTTGGAAATGGCCAAGATACGCGCAAAACGAGAAAAGCATGCCTGGTTTAATAAGCATAAATGAAAGAATTCAAATAAAAAGAGAATCTCAATCTTCAAGATACGAAATTCTTCAGCTAATGAAAGAAGAGAGCAGTTTCAAGAGAGCCAGGAACTAACTTTGAACTCTATTTTTACAAAAGATGATGGATGTGTGATAAAGCAAATGTGGTGAAAGGTTAATTGCAGAATCAGAGTGATGAGTGTAGCTGACCCTTGAACAACATGAGAGTTTGGGGTGCTGATCCCTCCATCCTAGGTGGCTGGGGGGAAAAAGCTAGTGAAAATGTTAAGAAAATCATAAGAGAAAATACAGTTACAGTATTTTGAAAAAATATGTTATTATTGAAGAAACTTCGCATGTAAGAGGACCCACACAGTTCCAACCTGTGTTAAGGGTCAACCGTATATTGGCATTCACTGTGAAAACCTTTAAATTTTTCTAATTGTTTGAAATCTTTTGGAATAAAATATTAGGAAAAATAATAGAGGTGGGAAGTGGGAATGCTAGTTTAAAACTCCAGACTTATCCAAAAGGTTGGGAAGAAGTGTATAATCCTTGAAGAAAACTCCAATTTACCCTTTAAGATAATCTTCAAATGCCATCGCTTCTCCCCTGGGCTTCCTTCACACGTTCCCATAACCCTCGGAGGATGTGTGTGAGCGCACGTGTGTGTAGTAATTACTCAAGGATTCCATGAATATATTCTTTTTCTATGCGGTCAGCTATTTTCCTTGCCCTTCTCATTCCCCTCCCTATCCAGGGTCACTATCACCAGCCTTCCAGGTGGTGATACATGTACATATATAAAGAAATACAGGCATACTTTGCATCCAGGGTCACTATCACCAGCCTTCCAGGCCTTTAATATGTACTTTATACATGTACATATATAAAGAAATACAGGCATACTTTGTTTTATGGAGCCTCACTTGATTGCGGTGGTTTGGAACTGAACCCGCAGTGTCTCCAAAGTATGTCTACCTACAGCATCGTTAAGGATTGTTTTAATGTAAATGGTATCAACTAAGCTGACAGTTCTACAACCTGACTGTCGCAGGCTGGGTCTGGGGAAGCCAACTCTGAAGTGGTGAGTAGCGAGTCTGAGGATAACTGGGGAGTCCCCTTGGGACCAACACCTGTGGAGGAGAAGGGACAGAGGCAGACTGGAAGCTGGAGAAGTTGAGCCGTGATGTGGTCTCAATAAAGGCTTAGCCAAATCTGTTCATTATTCAAGAAATAATACATGATAATAATCATTATTAAATATTAATTATTATTATTATTTGAGAGTTGAAAAGATGGAATGGCCTTTCACGGGTGTTCTAAGTTGGGCCAAGGGGCCCAGGCCTTTATTCCTCTGTGAGGAGAAGCCATTGGATGCAGGCTGCTCCAGAAAAAGTGTGATCGTGGACAAGGTCACCTGAAGGTGATGCACAACGTGAGATGACAGCTGAAGGCCACAGCTGGAGGAAGAGGTCCCTGATTTTTGGAGGAAGACCTGAGCTGTGGGCTGTGGGCTGTGTCACAGCATCCATCACATGCTTTCTTCATTTCTCGTTCCCTCAATTTTAAAGTAGGATCTCTGAGAACTATCTATGTTTGTACAAATAGGTATGCCTCACTTCTCACCGGGTGCCTATTAGATTCCATAATATCCCTCCATTACAGCTCATCTAACGGTCTCCACTCAAATGTTTGCAAACATTTAGGTGGTTTTAATTTTCTACCATCATAAACAACACTGTAGTGAAAATCCCTGCTTTGAGCATGTGTGCAAATATTCCTTGTTCCCTCGATTTTAAAGTAGGATCTCTGAGAACTATCTATGTTGGTACAAATAGGTATGCCTCACTTCTTACCGGGTGCCTATTAGATTCCATAATATTCCTCCATTACAGCTCATCTAACAGTCTCCCTGTTTGTGAACATTTAGGTGGTTTCAATTTTCTACCATCATAAACAACACTGTAGTGAAAATCCCTGCTTTGAGCTGGTGTGCAAATATTCCTGTAGAGAAGATAAAAATAGTAGAGTTAAGTCCAAGGACTTGAATTAAGACATTTGATGGGAAGGCAAATGTCACTACCATCACTACTAAATGCAAATAACTGTCTCCCTATTTTCACCAACATTCAATATGGCTAATCTTTAAATTGTTTGCCAATATTATGGATGAAAATGCTATTTCATTGCTTTATGTTTCCTTAATCACAAATGAGAATAATTTTTTGCTTGTTTTTGTATTTCCTAGACCATCTGTTTCTTACTGGTACTAAATGGTTTTATTATTTTTTAAAAAGTTCATAAGAAATCCACAATTAATGTTCGCTGAGTAAATTAATGGGATAAAAGAACAAAGCTGTATTATATTGTTTCGTGTTTTGTTTTGTTTTAAACAGTACTTTGGGATTATTTTTTCATTTTTAGAAAAATAAAGCCATCCATTTTGACTTTAAGATTCTGCTTAAAGGAAGACATGCAAGCCCCGCGATGTGGTGAGAATCTTGTTCACGCCTGTGCGGATGGAGTTCACGTCTGCTTCCGATCAGAGAGCAGCCTCGCACTGCTCACGCCGATGGTTAGCAGCAGCCTCGGGGTCTGGAAACCATCAGCATCTACCTGGCGTCCTTGGGAAAATTCCTGCGTGGAAGTAGCTGCTGGACGGTGTGAAGCTCCCGCAGGATCACGCTGCTGCTGCAGGGAATCACCAAGGTGACTCAGGCTCATGAAGTGCTAAAAGGTGGATTCCGATGTTGATAGCTCAGCGCCACTTCCCTTTGCTGCTTTCTGGGAGCAACACCTGCCTGGTTGACAAAGGGACCTTTGATCCTCCAGGACTCAGGGTCTGCCCTCCTGGCTGCTGCGTTCCTGCGGGCCGAGGGAGCTTTCTTTTCCGCAGGGCTGTTCTGTTTCCATTCACACTGCACCCTCCCTTCCACCCTGGACCCCCATGGAGCAGTTAAGGCCTGGTTCAAAGCTGTTCTGCTCACCCTGGCCAGTCCGCTCAGTGGTTAGAGTGTCGGCCCGCGTACCCAAGGGTCGCGGGTTTGACTCCCAGTCAAAGACACGTGCCTGGGTTGCAGGTTCTATCCTCCGTGTGTGGTGTGCCTCCCTCACGCCAATGTTTCTTTCCCTTTCCCTCCCTCTCTCCCTACCCCTTCTGCTCTCTCTAAAAATCAGTAAGAAAAATATCCCTGGGTGAGGATTAACAAACAAAAAAGCTGTTCTGCTCGGCAGCAATGCTGCGGAGGGAAAACAGAAGCCGCCAAGGGAAGACGGAGTCCTGGCAGAAAGAAAGGAACCAAGATCCCCTTTCCCTCCAACTAGGCTAGGAGCCGTGTGGGGAAGGAAGATGGACTCTCACAAAGTCGCTGGTGCACCTTAGAGGGCCGTGACGGGAAGGAGAGGGATCCCTGAGCCCCATCACGGGTCCGGGGTCAGCCACCCTTAAGGTCACCCTTCCACAGCCACATGAGCAGTGTCCGTGGACAACTTCAGCTTCCGATTGTCACTTACTGCACTAGCATTTGTACTGTGCTGTATCCTACTCATCTCCTCCAGTAATTGTAGGCTCAGTGTGGATTGGGGGGTGGGGGCTAGGCAGCCGCCCTGTCCTTCAGAGATTCCCCGAGTATGTGTAGGTGGGTCTGTGATGGGGAGGGGTCTGTCATTGTCTGGGCAATTCCTAGGACAGGGTGCGCTGTCAATGCGAGGATGCTGCAGGCAGAAGAGGAAGACAGTGTTTCTACCCAGGGAGCTCTGAAAAGGGGTCAGACTAGTCCACAGACCACTTTAGAGGGGACCCTGAGGAGTGGCTGATCACAGCAACTTACGAAGGTTAGGAGAGCATCAGTAAAGGCCTCTTGAGACGGAGGTAACAGTGTCCAACCTATGGACTCAGGACCCCCCCAGAGCCCAGCCACGTACTGGTTCAGGATCCCTACAACCAGCCCAGGCTTCCTGCTCAGCCTGGCTGCTCCCTACCACCAACCCTGCCATGTGGAGTCCATTCCTGCTCTGGTCTGTTGGGGAGAACGCAAAGCACAGGGCACGGAGAGGACACAGGGAGGAGTCCACTTTGACTTGAGTGCAGAGGGAGACCAGCGTGGCAGCACACACTGAGACCACACTGCGAAGGGTCTTGAAGTCCTAGCTTGAGAATCTACAATACAGAGGCCATGCAGGCCTCAAAGCTTTCTGGGCAGACAACGAAGCTGACATCCTTCATTGCAGGTGGACTGCCCTAAGGCCTCCTGCCTTTGTGTCTCCGGCACCCTGCACAGAGACTAGCACAGATCACGTGCTTGCTTTCATTGACCACATGAAAGCAATGATGAGAATGACTGTGCTTACAACGTTAGGTTGTCAAGGAAGCCTTGATCAAGGCTGAATGAAATGCAATTCTGTTGACCTGAAAGCCTCATTTCACAGAGTCTCCAGCACAGATGAGAACCCCGCTTTCTCCCCCGATCTAACCTTCCAGATTTCCAGGGTGAGTGAATATTCACCCCTCGTTGCTTTTCAAATATGAACTCCTGAGTTCACAGTGTACCACCACAACACAGGCGACAATCCTCCCCCCACCCCAACCCCACACCCGTTCCTGCCTCAGGGAAGGGCAAACCAACAGAGACTACAGTTTCCAACCGAAAAAATTATTATAGTAATAATGAGGATATAGAATCAGTTATGAGGAAAATGCAAAATATCTAACATGGTATTTTTTTTACTGAGCATTTACTATTCATTAGGCATACAGCATTATCTAATCCTCAGAATGACCTTTAGACTTAGATACTATCATGCCCCCATTTCATGGATAAGGATCGTGGATAAGTGGAGAATCTTGGGTTGACAGCCCCATGTGACTCTAAAGCCCCCATACTCTGTCCACGGCACATGGCCACGACGTTCCACCTCTCTCTACACATGTGTCCTGAAAAGATGACATGGTGGCTCCTTCCATTAACAGGCAGAGTCTATTTCCCCTGAGTTTACTTTGGCCAATAGAAGGCATTGGAAATGACACTCGACCACTTCCGGGCTCAGACCTCAAAGGGCCTTGCCTGCCTCCACTCTCATTCTTGGAACCATTCCCAACCACTATGCAAAAGGCCCCGGCTAGTCTGCTGGAGGATGAGAGACAGTGGCCCACTTGAGTGAACCAGGCCCCCAGCTGACCTGCAGGTTGAACTCTAACACATGAGTGAGCCCCGCCAAGATTAGCCAAGCCTGGCCCAGATCAGCAGAACTGCCCGGCTGACCTAGAGACTCACGGACAATAATAAATGGCTATTGTTTTAAGCCATTCAATTTGGGGGAGGTTTGTTACTCAGCAAGAGCTAACCCATGCACTATGCCATGCTCATACACACTTCTGCTCAGGGAAAGAATTAAATCCATCCAACAAGAATAACTTTCTTGGCAGCAGCCATTCCTGCTGCCCATCAGTCTCAACTCATCCCTGCCTTCTCACCATATTGTTCCTGAAAAATGAAGTTTGTAAGCAGGGGGGCTTCACACACTTGGGGCCTAAGAGCAGGCTCTCTGCTTGTGGGTGAGGGGCAAACCCCCAGACAGTAACAGCGTGTCTCAGGGCTGGTACTCCTCCTGGCCAACCAGTCCCTCTGATCTCATTCTGTACCAAGGTCTTCCTGCCTGCCTTGCCTGACCCGCCCACTAGACTGTGGTTCATGACTGCTCTATTCCCCGCACCTAAAAGAATGTGTTGCACATGACAGGTGCCAAAGAAATGCTTGTTGAATGAAAGAAATCACTCCTTTCCTACAGAATCTTCCATGGCTCCCCACTGCCAGCAGAATAAGATTAAAACTCCCTGGCACCACACCCCTAGAGCAGAGAGAGACTTCAGCCCGCCTTGCCGCACATCCTCTTAGCTCCTCATTCCCAGAGCCTTTGCGCTATCTCACCTCCATGCCTTTGTATACGCTATTTCTTCAGCCTAGAATCCCCTTCCCTCCCTTTGAACTCCTTTTCATCTTCTAACAGCCTCTTTTTCTTCTCTACTTGTGCCACAGGCAGAACTCTTTATCCCCTCGGGATGGTACAGAGGAAAGGAGACGTTCTTGCTGTTATTTAATCCTCCCTGCCCATTGCGCTAGATTTTCTTAGGCCCGTTTTACAGATCGAGACATTCAGGCACAAAGTGTAAAAGAGCTCCCTGAAGGTCACAGGACCACTGAGTGCTACAGACGGGATTCAGGCCCATGCCTAGCTGTGGTCGAGCGGCTGCACCGATGGCCCCGGTCCTGCTTCCCCATGCCTCTTCCGTCTCCCTGAGAATGTTCCCCGGGCTGGCCCGCTGGAGGATGCGATTCACATAGAACAGAGCTGAGCTGCCACTGTCATCCCGGCCATGGCCAGCAGCCAGCTGACTCCCAGCTCTGTGAACAAGCCACTGCCAACCCCACACTTGCGAACGCTGTGCTTATTACACGCCACAGTTAGTATCTGTCATGCAGCATCTGCCCCTCTTCCTGCAGACTTCATTTCCCTGGGGGGCACCCCAGCCACCCTGTTCTGCAAACTAGAAATCTGGGCTCCACGAACTCCTCTGTAAGCTGCATGTCCAACACTCACCAGGGCAAGCTCTCTGAGGGTCCCCCCCCCCTTTCCCTTGGCCTGAGGGGAGACATCTCTCCTCCAAGGGCTCAGGGAACAAAGCAAGGCACCACCAGCCTTCTCCGCAACCTCCTCTCGCCAGCGTCCATGCCTGGGCCTCTCGGATGGCAATCCCTTTGTACCCCCAAGGTCAGTGAGTGGAGCCTTTCTCTTTCGAAGCCTTTACAGGGAGTCGAGCAGCCCGACCGAGGCTGTGGGAAGATCTGCGACCTCCTGGAGCCCAGTGGAAGCTGGCGAGAGGATGTCACCTGGAAACATCCAGCTACACTTTAATAGCAACATGTCTCTTCATGGCGCGGTCACAGCCGGAAGGGGACACTGATTCACAGCGTTAGTGGAACCTTGGGCAGGGCCAGGACCATGTCTGCTTCTCCTAGTTACTGTGTCCGCAGCATCACGCACAATGCTAGCCCGTGGTGGGTGCTCAATACATGCTCGCTGACTGACCACATGAATCCATGAGTGAATGGAAGAAAAAAAAAATCGGTGATCAGAAAACAGGGGTTCTACATTCCTGCATTGGAAGGACACGTGGATGAGCTTGGGGTGGCCTCTCGGGCCTGGGCACAGGATAGTCTGCACCCCGCAAAGCAGAGAGTCCTGGCTGAGGGCCCTGCTGCCTTCCCCTGCCGCCCACAGGGTCGGAGAGAACACTCTTGAAAAATGGGTGGCAGGAAGTCGCCCGGTAGCCGTCTCGCTGACAGAACAAACCCCACACCAGGAAAGGAATGGAATGGAGATGCAGGCTGAACAAGTTGTCCAAACACATGGGAAAAGCCAAGTGTGGCCAAGGGGATCCGAGTCCAACTCTGCTCCTACCAGCATTCCCCGTGCCACCTCCAATTACCGAAATGGAGAGATTCAGCAGCTGGGTTTGCCGGGCGGTGCTCACGCTTTAATGCCATCCCCCGTGCGCTCTGGACAACAGAACATGTTTCTCAACTCTGGGCTGTTTGCTTTTCATTTGATTGTTTTTTCTGTGCAGTTTTCAGACTCCAATCTGGTCGCACGCCATCAGAATTCCTGACATCTGCACTTCATGCTTCTATGGC